ATCAGTCCTATTCCTAGACTTTAAGAAAGCCTTTGATAAGGTCCCACACAAAAGGCTACTCGTCAAACTAAAGTCCTTCGGAATACACAACCCACTGTACTCATGGTTTGCTTCGTTCTTAACAGAACGTAAACAGATGGTAAAGTACAATGACTGTCTCTCGTCCCCTAGACCAATCACCAGTGGAGTCATCCAGGGAAGCGTATTAGGGCCACTTTTGTTTCTTATGTATATAAACGATATATGTAACACCATAGAATTCGGGAAACCGTACTTATATGCTGATGATCTCAAAATAGTATACAGCTATAAGCCTGAGACACTAAGCGAAAGTGTATCCCAGATCCAAAAGGACCTCAATAACTTAACTATATGGAGTGAAAAATGGCAATTACCATTTAACCTCAACAAGTGCGGGATCATGCACTTTGGAAAGCATCCCTATAAACCGCGACTTCACTTAAATGAATGTATAGTCAAAACACTCGAATCAGTACACGATTTAGGAATTAATTACACAGGAAGCCTAAACTTTGAAGAACATGCCTCCTCCATTATTTCTAAATCTAGACGGCTAATTGGTTTTATAATGAAAAACTTTTTCACAACAGAGGGTAAACTTACTCTCTACAAAATATGTGTACGACCCACCCTTGAATACTGCTCTTTTGTCTTCTCTAATATGAATATCGCAGACAAGATAAGAGTAGAAGATGTTCAAAGACGTTTCACACGTCAACTACTAGGATGTAACTCGAATCTCGATTACACAGACAGATGTAAGCATCTATCTTTAGAACCTTTATGGCACCGTAGGCTAAAACACAATTTAATATTTCTCTACAAAGCGATATATGGGCTCTCCTTTCTAACCTCCTGCCCGACTATCACCCACGACCCAGCCTATAGACTTAGAAACAACGCATATACACTACTTACCGTGAAACACCAAAAACAAATGCGTTGTAAGTTCTTTACAGTACGGTACAGTTTATTGTGGAACAGGCTGGCAATGCCTATCCGCAACTGTGATACGTTTACCAGATTCAAAAAGCTAATAACCCTATTTCTAGACTCCAAAGAGCTTCAACATTACCTTGAACTCCCGCCCACCGATGAGGCACTTTATTACGGACCGGCTAGTATCTAGAAAGAACAAAATTATAACAAGTTCGACTGTTACTAATCTGAATATAACCAAATCACAGGATATATGGCTTATCCTTTCCTATTATTCATTGTTTATTAATCATGATTTCATGCCCCTAACCCTAGCTTTCAGTCCCCAAATCTCTACAGGTTAAATGTACATTATTCTTCCTAAAAGTCATGCTTTTTTTTCTACTGCAAGTAGACAGATAGCTCAATCTTATGGATGCTGATCTACTAAGGCCGATCATTCAAAGCTCAAAATTTGGCCACAAAGTCTTGTGAGTTTCTCAATGTTTTATTTTTCTCACCCTAAAATCTTTTTTTTTTCCACAATTTTATACCCTCTCATATCTTTTGATTTACTATTAATCCTTACTTCTTTAAACCATTAGTTATTTTCATAGCAGTGTGATATACTATATGGACATCTAACCCATAAAACAGAATTTTTAAATATCTGATTTGCTTGTAACATGGACCTAGTAGAGACAGTGTATTCCAACTATGTGCTTTGATTAAAGCATTAATCATACTTACCACAAACGTAAAAGAGCCTAACATCACAAAAGGAGGGAGGGTGGCGTTACTGACCAGCAAACATGAAGGTGGGGAGATAACTTCAATCCATCCATGTCTGTAGGGCAGAACATTTTGTTTAATTACGGCTCCTTATGGTTTAGTGGGATGTCACGGACTTATGGTATTGAAGCTAATTTATCACGCAGAATACCTCTTTAAATCGTGTTACGAACGTTGAATTGGTTTCACTTCCTACCCAGTAATCCTATTACAAGCAAACTAGACAATTCGCTAATATACGAAGCCCACTTAAGACCCTATAAAACCTGAAAAAAAAACAAATAAAAAAAACGAAAGGGGCTCTAATAGCTTCGATAATAAAAGGAAGATAGCCAGTTGTATATCACAATACTGTTTCTAGCACTATATTTTATTTTATAATCACACATAATCTTATACTCTCAGCTCTTTTCCGAATCGTCTCCATTTGTCAGTTGTATGTCCACTCACACCTTGCTAAAGCTTATTTTCTTTAACCTATTAAAGTGCTCTTTCTTAACAAATACCTTAATAAAAGAAAATTAGACTGAGTAATCATGCCTTAAACATTCCTACATGAATATTGGCTACTCTACCTCTCGTGTTTTCTTTTACTTGCTCCCTCTTTCAGCCCTCTTGAGATATGGAACAGGTTACTTCATCCTGCGCCATCCTTAAAGCCTTGGATATCCCAAAGGGACATAAGGTTGCGATTTCTAGAAGCTCATACCTTCAATGGACCTATTCTTGACCATCAGTCGCACATTCGCAACGCGACTCTCGTGAAGCGTGCCAACTGTAGTACTGACTAAAACAATCTACATTCATGTCTTAAAAATTTTCAACCCAGCTACGTAATTTAATACAGTGTATATTGTATCATTTGTATCAATTTGATCTTGCCTGTAAACTGGCATGCCTCATGTAACAAACTGTTATTTGAGAATAAATTATTATTATTATTATTATAACTCAACTGAAGCTCGGTTCTTCAACCTCATCGATAACTTGGGCTTATATGAAAATGTGAGGTCGGCAACTCGTTGGAGAAACAGTCAGACACCATCGCGCTTAGACTGTGTATTCACTAACGAAGAATTCCTAGTCGACAACCTCTCAATCCTGGCTCCTCTGGGAAAGAGCGATCATGCCGTCATAGCCTTCAGTTTTGTCATCAAAACTAAGCTAAGGTATCCCAACAATAATTTGCGTTCCTAAAACGGTTCCCAAAAGCTGCAAGCCACCTACAGTAATCAAGAACCGTGCTCTTCGCCTGCTAAGCCGCAAAAGGCACTGTTGGGCGGAATACAAACAAACTAATAACGATGGAGCGTATAGGCAATATAAACATATCAGGAACATATGCACGAAGGCTATAAGAGAAGACAGGCTTCAGTACCAAACAAAGCTTATGGACAAATTCGCCTCTAACCCTAGAAGCCTATTCCGTTATGCAGCCTCTCTTCGTCAAGCCAAAACAGGAGTTTCTCAACTGCTAGATCTTAACGGCCCGGCCAACAACGATGGCGACGCCGCTAACCTTCTGGCGGCCCATTACTCTCAAACATTTCAACCGGCTGACATCAACTTTATTGACGACAGTTCCATCTGCAATTCCACAGGACTTTCTGAAGTGGATCTAAGCGCTGACTTGGTGTTCCGGAAATTGCAGCACTTAAGACTTGACACTTCTCCTGGTCCGGATATGGTTCATCCTGCCATACTGAGGGAGGCAGCCTCAATCCTGGCAACGCCGCTTAGCGTGATGTTTTCACACTCGCTTAGCCGAGGCAAATTACCGGAAAACTGGAAGTTGGCTCACATCACACCAATTTTCAAAGGTGGTCGACGCAATGAACCTTCAAGTTATCGGCCGGTGGCTCTTCTGTCATTACCTTCAAAACTCATGGAGTCCCTGATATGCGACGGTTTAAATGACTATCTACTGTCCTTAAATTTCTTCTCACCCCAACAGCATGGTTTCAGGAAGGGTTACACTTGTATAACCAACCTGCTGACTGCGGTGGACAAATGGACAAGCATCCTCGATTGCAAGGGAAAGGTTGACGTCATTTACCTTGATTTCTCAAAAGCTTTTGATAAGGTTAACCACTTGTGTCTTATCAACAAGCTCAAACGACTAGGTATCAAACCACCTCTAATCGATTGGCTTACTTCATACCTAAAAAATCGACACTTTAAGGTTAGGGTTAATTTCACTTTATCTCAGGCTATGGAATGTCCTAGTGGGGTTCCCCAGGGCTCAGTACTAGGGCCTCTTCTCTTCTTGATCTACATAAATGATCTTCCTCAACAGGTAACGTCAGATGTATTACTTTTTGCCGACGACGTGAAACTTTGGAGAGAGATACGCAACCAAGTCGATACACAGGCACTTCAGGAGGATCTGACGCGACTTCAAAGTTGGGCAGACGATAACGGACTTACCTTTAACACTTCAAAGTGTAAAGTAGTCCATCTACGACATGTCGCAAACTACAGTTACAACTTAGGAAACTCCTCTCTAGTAGTATCCCAAGTCGAAAAAGATTTAGGAGTCCTGATGCCCCATGACTTAAAGTCTTACGCTAACTGTGACAAAAATGCCTTCCGAGCAAACCTTGCACTGGTAACGTTGAAGCGCATTTTTGGACAGTTTGACGGAAGAACTTTCCATATAATCTTCAATGGTTTCATCCGTCCCCATTTAGAGTACGGAAATATAGTACTCCCCCCTCACTCCAAAAGGACAAGTTCACTTTGGAGCGTATCCAACTGCGAGCCACGAAATCAGTTCGAGGACTCAAATCTAAGCCTTACGAAGAACGCCTCCGTTCACTAGACCTTTACCCACTAGAATATAGGCGTCTTAGAGGTGATTTATTAGTGGCTTATGGTATTCTTAACACTTCTGGACATCCTCTTAAACACCTACTTAAGCTTAGTTCGAATAATAACCTAAGGGGTAACACCCAGAAACTGGAAACACAACATAGCAAGACGGAATGTAGACACAACTTCTACTCCTTAAGAGTTGTCAAAAGCTGGAATTCGCTGCCGGCCGAGCTAGTCCAAGCGACTTCTCAGGAGTCCTTGAAGAGGCAACTTGACCTATTCTTAAGAACCAAGGACAGCATCACACTATGATTTACCAATTTCTTTTCCTCTTTTATTGTTAACATACCTAGGTTCCTGCCTGGAGGATTTGGTGATCCCCTGCTACTAGACACGGAAGCCTGTTAAGCGAAAGCTTCTTCTATTCCGTCCACAACCATTTGAACCTTGAAGTGGTTGTAGACACATTTTTAAAATGCAGAAGTGGTTTCTGTCTGGTAAATAAATATGAGTTTTATATCAGCATTCAGAATATGTAGAACCGCTTGAAGGGCTTCACAGGCTTTTGGAAGTTGACAGGGTCACTGTGAAGCAAATAAAAAAGAACCAAAGTGAGTTTTATTAATAGTTTATATCCAACAAAACAAAGCACGGATTAATAAATGTACATATAGTTTTGCAAAAGAGTGGTTTAATACGAGATAAAGGTATTCAAATAAATGTATTACCCTTTCCGCAACTCTTCACTCTAACTTAAGTTTCTATATCAGTGTTGATCGAATTATTTGTAACTACTTCATATTAAGTGTAATTGAATTGAATTGCTATTATCTTTGCAGTACAAATTTTCTTTCAAAGTTTTGTGAAGTATCTGATGAGAACGTTTATTTTAGTCGTTTCGTTCAGAATTTGATTGATATTTTATTTAGTGATAAAAATATTCACTCCTCTACTAATAAAGTGCAGATGTAATTGTGATTAAAGGTCTTTACAACTAATTACTTTTCGTAATCACAAAGCGTTTGTTCGCTACCGGAACTTCAAATAAGGAAGTCATGTGAAATAAGATGAGAAGATTCAAATTCATAGCATGTTTTATTTCTGTAATGCGTTGCAAATGTAATTACATTCAGAATTCGAATTTTTTTCAGTTTAAAAACACTATCACCTGCCACGTTTTTAAAACTGAAAAACCGAAGGTTCAGTTATTTGAACTTTACTTTATCTCTTTAGAATAACAATTAATATTGTTGAGTCTATACTGCCAGTCTATGCAAATTGATTATGATACAGACAATTGTCAGTGGTATGAACATGTGCAGATCTGTTGAATCTAATAGAAAGCTTTTCAGACTTCATTCACGGCTTATTGTGTTTTGGACAAAGTATCTACTATTTCAACCAGCGTTAGTGTAGTTTTAAACTGGTCGAGTTTCTTATATTGTTTTTGCCAAAAACATTTAGTGGAAGATTCAATTAGGTCATATGAATTCCACCCCAAAAGTATGAATAAGTCCTAAATAAACTCAATTCATACCATAAATTTTACATGTTTGTAAATTAAAAAAACTTGACACTTAGGAGCATTGGGCTTTTGTAAGCACCCTGTTTTTGATCAATAATTGTGACAGATATAAGTTATATTTATTTGTTCGAAAGCTGGGTGTGTAAAATTAAATTTGGCCTACTTAGTGATGAAAAATGCCGCTATATTTATGTGTAACTAAAAACTGAATTGTGTTTGATGGTCCTTTGATACTTTATTGAGCCTTCATTGTCAAGATTTAAACTTTGAGGAAGGGAAGGGTCAGTCCAGCAAACAAAAGTTTATTTTCGGCAATTAGAAATACGTAAAGTGCGCGATCGTGTTAACGATTAATATGTCTACTAAAAATATTAGTCTATAACTTCACAGAACGGTGTTGATTAGCTAACCAAAATTGAAGTGTTATCATGCCATATATAGTTTCAAAATTCAGACAACAAAGACGAACTAGACGGTGACCTAACAGCTGATAAAAAATGTTAGAATGAAAATGGTATTCTACTCGATGAATATCAAGAACAAAATAATTAAAACTTGTAATGGTGGCTAAATATTAGTCGCGAAATGTAGGTAATGGGGAGACAAATATGGCTGGAATAGAGGAAAAGCGATAGACTGTGGAAGACAGGCAACTAGATCAAGACAGCAATGAAATTAGAATGCAAAAATCCTGGTTTTTGAGACAAAGGTCAGGTTTGAATTGGTGGTAAGCTATAACTTCTAATGTACATTCCTTTTTCATTCGTATTTTTTTAAAGCTATTTTTATCACTATACTAACAATTTTGAAGGATGATTCTAATAAATTGAAGTGCCCAAAATTAACTAGGTTTTCGAGGGTTGAGCTTTTAATAGATTTTTTAGTCCTTCAGATAACCAGGGACACTGATATTTGTAGTGCAAACTTTGTATGTCAGAGAAAGATATTATCTCCCTGATGTACCAGTAATCAACAATCATCAAGGTTGAATAAACAGTAGATGAAAGAACTTGAGATTATTTTTTATCTTGATCAATGCGTTGGTAGCTAAGTGAAACAATATGCGTTCCGTCTTTCATTGCTGCTACTAATACCACTATTTTACAAACACGCTTAGTTCATACTGTTTTAAAAAATAAGTATTTTGAATTCACCCTTGCTGAGTTCGAATAAAAGGCTCACGAAACGTATTTACGAGGTGAATGGTGGATAAGATGTTATACATACAAAGTTTTCCTTCCAGCTTTCTTAAAATCTTTCGAATATGGTCTTTTAAATGGTTAGTTACAGTGGCTTAAAATAATGTCGGCTAGTAATCATGAGTAAAATTAGTAGTGCTAATTGAATAAACGGTTCACGTCATATTCAGTTGTTAAATTATTATCAATAGTTTAGAAATAGTTGATTAAAATGTAGTTTGTTTTGTAGATGTTTTGTATATTTGAAGCTTCCAGGAAACATTTTTGCCTCTGAATTGTTAAAAGACATCATATTAGATGTAGTTTTTGGATGGATCCCTTTATCAAAACAAAATTAAAAGTTAAAACTTCATAAAATAAGAACGATTTTAAGGCACCGATTGATGTAAGCACGTTTTTGCTGTAAGCGAAAGTATACATGTGAGCATTACTGACAAATTTCGTGAACATAGATTACATTTTTGTGTTGCTTTACCGTATAATTCTATAAAATGAATTTAGTCGCTAAAGGTCTTTAAATATTAAACTGGAAGGAAGTATTCTTTCCCACAAACAAATTATTTTCTTCGCTTGACTCGAAAAGAGTCTGGCAAATTTATTTTGTTCCTAACTTTACAAGTGAAATATTGTATGACGTTATTGATTGTGAACATATAATGAAAACGATTTTATAAACAACGCACTAGTTGGTTAAACTCTGTCTTTCAGCTAAACATTTTTAATATCAAACAGTATTTTAGTTATACACTGGAAAACTCATAAAAACAACATTGGTCGTAGTTAGAGACATTTTTATTGTAAAGCTTCTGGAGCTTTTTATCCATTAATTATATAGATTATCTAGTGATTTATACGGTGTTATAGTGAGAACTCCATATTGTGATTTATATTCTAGGCTCATTGTTTGATAAAATTTATGAAAATATAGAAATCTTATTTGTTTTTTTTAGGTTCAAAGCTACATGATGCAGTAGTTTATGAAGCCCTGCTAGATACTTCTGAACTTCTTTTAAAATTTGTTGAAAAGTCTAGCTTTGCACAAAGATTTTGGTGTGGATCTCACAGAGCGTTCGATATGGAAGTGCGAAATGTAAACGGAAAACTTGTTATGCATCTCCAACGGCCATTGAAGTGTTCAGCAGTTGTATGTTTTTGTTGTACTTATGTAAGTTGATAAATCGTCTGCAAAACAAGTTAGAATTCACCTTCTTGTTTTAAAATTTTGAGAACCGGTATTTTGTTGCTTAGTTATTCCACGCCCTACTTTTCGTAACCTTAATTAAATCATTTTCCATGCCCGAACGATTGAATGTCGTTTTATGCTATTTCATAAAATGGTTTTCACCTGAGATATAACTAGTGGCCGTAAATGGTTTGAATTATGTATTTAAATAAAAATATGGCTTATGATATTAGGTCCGCCAAACATGTTTTTATACTCTTAGAATTTCATGAAGAGTTTGAAGTACGATGGATAAATGAAAATGAGTTCATGGGTTGGTAAAGTTTTAACTAAACTAAATAGACAGATTAAAATCAATTTTAAAGCCATAAATTGATCCATAGCTCGATTTCACTAGACAACTACAGTAGTGCAACTTAAACAATATGAACCCGTTTAATAATACTAAAAAGCTAGCTAGATTGCCTGCCTATTAAAGTTATAGTGGAAAGATTGATTAGAAATGATCAATCTAAAAGTTACTGAAGATAGAATATTTTCACCTTCACAAGTTTTCAACTCATTCCAAGGACAAGAATACTTTCATTGGAATATTGGTTAATTTGCCAACAGTTTGCACGAATCACATTATTGTTACTACGAAGAGATGTTGACAACCACATTACTATAATCAGTGGATATCTAATAGGTTTTACTTAAGAGTACAAAACGATGTTTCCGTAGTTTTCTTTCTTAGAGCTGAATTATTTTATTACCTGCTAGGAACTTTGGTGGGGAAAAATTACCCCATATGAGTGTGGGGCGATCACATGATATCCAGAATCCACTACTATAGTGACGTTTATCAGGTCATTGAATGGTCAAATGTATTTATGACTCAATCACGTATTCAGTCGATATCAGGGTCCCATCCATAAATCTGCTGTTTTTCATCAGAAAAATCAATTATCGGGGTTTTGTTAAAACCTTTGATGTTTTGAAACTTATAAACTGTTATAATGAGAAAAACTGGCAGTCTTTTGGTTCTAGTGTTATAACTTACCTACAGATTGGTTGCCTAACTTTAAACTCTCTAAAAAATCAACTATGACTAAGGTTCGACAAGCATTTATTCAAATTAATTACTCTTTGTGGATTTTCAGGACTGAATTTAAAAAATATCCCGTAACAAATCTTCTTGCTGAACAAATTTTTCCATAAAACCTGTATCTACATCAGAGCTAGCACTAAGGTTTATGTTCATAATTTATTTTTGTTTGAAGCAAGACAATCACTAAAATGACTTGGTAGCCTGGAAGTTTACTCTCTTTGAAACTACAAACACTAATATATATATATATATATATATATATATATATATATATATATATTTAAAATCACTTTCTAAGTGTATCTGCTGCTATGTATATTCTCGTTTCTGTTTATTTTAATGAACATTCACTCACAGTTCAAGTTTGTTAACTATTTTTTTTGTTTGGTTTTATTTACAGTGTTTATATTTTCTACTGATATCATTCATTTATATATGTGTTTTAATTAAGGAAATGAAAGTTGAAGCTCCAGTAGGTGAACCAATGGGTAGTATTGTTCAAAATTATGGACGATTCGGTCATACATTTTACCTGAAAGATTGGAATGGTAATATAAATTTAGATATAAAAGGTCCTTGGTTTTCTTATACCTGTTGTTTTGATCTTATTTTTAAGGTGAGTATAAGTTCATAAAGATTATTATCACATGAATAATTAACTTGTAAATACTTGATATAATCATTACATTATCGTAAATTGAACTTACAATTTTTAGTAAAAACAGATTAGTGAAAGTGAAAATCATGCTTTCAGGTTTCAAGTGGGTGTTTAGCTAAGTTCATCACGTAATTTAAAAACTATGAAAATTCTACAACATCCAAAAATCCTCTAATAATAATGTTCAGTAGTAACTAGTTTCAAGATAAAGCTCTTATAATTGTGCTGAGATGCCATGATGGACGGAGTTGAACCATGTTCAGTATAAGACACTTATCTGCTTCGGACAATAGAAGATGATTGTGCAATATCGTGAATTTTTTGAAGTTAGACATGAACACCATTGGATGCCGTTTCAGTAGTTTAGAGGATAATCATTTACATGCAACACCGGAAATTCTAAATTTGATTTCTGCTTATGGGGTCGTGGACGCTCACTTCTGAGGAATCCCATATCAGTATGAAGCAACTGTCCAGTGCTACCTGGTATTCACTGTTGATCTAGTTCATGAAGTCAATATAAAATATCATAGAAAACCAAAGAATTAAACTGGATACACTTCTTTTACATGGTTCAAAAACTTGTCAAGGTTAGAAAGAGGTTCAGAGGTTTTGAAATAGTAATGCAAACGGTACAGGAAATCATCCATATAGCTCCATACTAGTAGGCCTCTGGAGCTGTGATAAGGTAGCAAAAACTCTTTCAGTCTCGACCACATAGCTTCAATATTGTTTGTTTGCACTCCTGTCCTTGTGTCCACAAAATGTTGCTTAAGGATAACGACACGATGCACATAACCAAGTCTATGAAAGAATCTGTGCGCTCTGCAGTCGTGCGCATATAGTGTAATACCCGGCTGAAGCCATTGTTACTGGCGCTTTTATTATCCAGTTCGTAACAATTGTGATGATTTGCCTTATTTTCAATTTGGAGTGAGCGAAAAATTCTATTCTAGCAGACTTCTTCCTCCAACACATATTACATCGAAAGACTACATCATCACAGTAGTCTGCACAAAGTTCACAAGTCATTTGATCACCATAATCACAAATAAAAGAAGTTCTTAGTAGTCCCATTTATTGTAATCGCTCAATTATCACGTTTCCTCTAAAATCCACTGTGAACCGATCGTACGTGAGCATCAGGTACTGAAACTGGTATTGTGACCTTGAAATCCTCCAAACGTTTGTGATTGGTTCGTCCATAATTTATAGTCTCGTCGAATCTTTTGAAAATGAAGTTTCTCTTGAAATGAGTATGACGTACGATGAATAAAATATCATACAACTAAACCAAATATTCTCATTTTTGACGGGAATCCGTCACCATAATGAAAAATGATAATGAATTAAAAATAAATAACCGTTTACAAACAATGGTACGTGGTGTTAACCTAATACTTATAATTTGATCGGAATACTTTAGATTTTAGTGGCTCTAAATCTGACTCCATTTGGATCGTTTGCTGCTTGTTATTGAAATATTTACATGTCGCCAAACCTCGTACATAATCACCGAATTAACTCGCGTTAGCGAATAATGGTATTAAATAAGTCAACTACGAGAATGAATTTCGAATACATACATTTTGTACAATCTTTGATCCAGACAGAAGATCGGAGAAGCAAAGGAAATAGAGCGAAGCGAAATGACGCGAGGTGGAGAAAGCATGTAAGCCAACTCGATTTGACCAAGAGTGAATCGATATTTATAGTCAGACAAATATAAGTTACAGTCATGCGATGAGTAAGATAAGAAATGCACATACATACTCTTACATAAAAACAATCAAGGTTGACGATCGAATAATTGACAAGGTCAAAATGTGACTCAAGAAGAATGAATGAATTAGCCTGTCCGTAAGCTAGAATAAGCTATGTGGGCTCGCATAGCGCTACAAGATTCACATTCATTTAAAATTATTTTCCGCACCATGTGAATGACTAGTTCTTAACGTACTTGTTTTTCTTTATTGAATTACATATTTTAGCACACTAAGTTATTATCGTAAATCAAACTAATTGTAGCTAAAACTGTTAAAATGGTGTCACATTTCGGTATGTAGCTTTGATGTGTCCTCTTTACGAAGGTGTTTACGTACATTATTAAGTGTGTTTTTCATTCAAATGATTTGAAATCCTTTAACTGATATTTATACCGGAACGAATCATATATGTATATATATTTGTAAGTGATACCATTATAAGTGACGTTTAAATTGAAATTTCAGCAATCACTAGTTCTCTAAATCTTTCATGTATGCTTTACTGATCAATTTCTGACTTACATGAAATCTAGGTCAAACATGTCTTCTTATTATTCGCATAAAATCACATAACATCAAGGTGTTGCACAATGTTGATAATGGTAATGGACTAGTGATCAAATGGTTTGACTTTCAACTCATAAATATCAGGTACATATGCTACTCCTCCTTCTCCTATATCGGTTTTAACACCTGATTAGTATCACTAACCATTATACAAACTATGTGACTAAAACTGAAATGTATAAATTTATAGTTTACATATGATGTAATCATATATTACTGATCACATTCTAATATTCTCAATTGAATTTAATCAGCACTGTGTGCTAAACACTAGACTGATACGTTACTAGCTACTAACTTATTAATCAGTGTACATATTTACAACCAGAATGTATATCCTCGGCGAGACTCTATTTATAGACGACCTTTGAACGAATATTAAGTGACCTTGATAATTATTAGCCAACCAGAAGACAGCTAGTATGAAGTAAAAGCATTATAAAAAACTAAAAAATTAAAGTGGATATTCTTCTTTTACATGATTCAAAAACTTATTAAGGTTTGAAAGAGGTTCAGAGGTTCTAAAATTGTAGTGCATACGGTAGAGGAACTCATCCATATGGCTCCATAATAGTCGACCTCTGGAGCCGTGATAGGGTCTTAAGAACTCCTTTAGCTTGGACCACATAGCCTCAATAATATTGGTGTGAACTCTTGTGGTAGGGTCGACAAAATGGCGCTTGTACACAACGACATGATGCACATACCCAAGTCTGTGTAGGCATCTATACGTTCTTCAATCATCTGTATATATCGTAGTGCTCGGCTACGCGTATTCCTGTATAATTGGTATTATTGTGGTTGCTTGCCGGTTTCTGACCCTTTGAAAATATCCCTTTTGCGTTGATCTGTCATAAATTCCAAGTACATGTGAGGTATATTTACGGAAGTGCTACTTATCCAGTCTTCCTTAATATGACGTCCCAAGTTATATTTTCGCTTTCGTACTACTGTTTTATCTATTTTAAAAATACTCCCAACTCCTCCAAACGACCGTGTAAACGTGTCATTTTAATCGCACATATACCCCTGCAATACTCATACCATTGCACATCTGAAGTCTCAGTAACGTCTGCAAGTGCTGAAACCAGTGTTACTGGTGCTTTTATTATCCAATTCGCGACAATCATCATGATTTGTTTCAGTCTCAATCGCGATCGAGCGAAGAAAGTACCCGTTCGAGCAAACTTCTTTCTCCAACGTGAAGAAAATCGAAATACAATGTCATCACGATACTCTGAACATGGTAATGCAGTCATTTGATTACCACAGTCACAAATAAAGGAACTTCTTAGTAGTTCCATCTGTTGAAGCTGCTCAATAATCACGTCATCTTTAAAATCCGCTGTAAACTGGTCGTACGTGAGCATCAGGTACTGAAATCGGCGCTGTGACCTCGAAATCCCTTAAACGCTTCTGATTGTCCCGTCTATAAATTAGAGTATTGCCCTTATTTTTACCCAAAACAAGGTTGTTTCTTCGTAGATTTGACGAATATCAAGTTTAATTTTACTACATATTAAAGAGTAAATCCCCTTCAATTTGTTTTCTCACTGTTCATTGATCACTGGGTGGTGATCAATGTCATGTATGTCGGGTCCTCCTTAGTGCAGATCGAATCTTATCGACCAAGTTGCAATGTGGCCACCAGTCTGGGTGACTCGACATTGCGTGCACTATGTTGAGACTAGTGTCAATATTACAACTCGCTCAATAGAATCTGATTGCTTTTAAAGGACTAGACAAACTAGATAATGGTTACCACTCAGTTATCAATTCATCAAAAACACGACACTGCTAAAATTCATGTTGATGATAATGTGTTAGATTATCTGGAACATTCGGCAAGAAACTCTAGAAGTGAGTTTTATTTGTTAAAATGATATGTTTTCAGTCTTCTGCGAACTGATATTCAGTAAAATTTCTGGTTATCCCATTCGATGATGCTGATCCAAATACCAAGAGAAATACGTCAACTATTATGAAACGCTGGTAAATCAGGGTTTTCTATCAATTGTACACAATTATCTAATACTATAAATAGAACTTCCGAAAATGGTGTCATTAAGATTAGTAGGTGAATTTCAACCTGCTTGAAAGAATTTGATCAGTACGGAAAAACAACAACATACTACTCACTATATAAAAGTAAACAATCACCTACTGTAAACGTTAAGTTATGTACAGGTTGGTAGGATGATATTAACGTATTTTTCTTTTTACGGTTCAACTTAAATGCCATGTTTTTATTAGTCTTGTAATTTTGTAAAGATGCCTAATCTTTGTAATATTTAAATACAAATACATAATTAATGAACAAAATGAAAATGTTGTTTAATAACTTACGATAGATACGTTTTACACTTACAATGATCAACAAAAAATCCCCAACCATTTGATGATATTTATTATTTCTTAACATAGGAATGGTGAGATACTATTGATTAATTTTAGATTGAGGTCATGAATAGATCAATGTTAGGTCACTATAATAAACCTGGAAACATTGGACGGCTGTTTCATCCTAGCTTGAGACTCCTCAGCAGTGCGCATCCACGGTCCCATACCAAAGGGACTCGGACCCAGAACCTTCTATTTCGCGCGCAATCACTTAACCTTTAACCTCCAACGGTGTTACCATCTAACTTCAACCAATCTATCCAGTGCTTTTAGTTTTTCAATGATGGTCTAACATTGATCGATTCATGATATCAATCAAAAACTTAACAATCTTCATAATCTCATACTGATGATTCGTTCTAAGGGAACAACAATGCTATCTAGACATTTTATAACTTAAATAGTACAACGTTTTCAACCTTGAATAATCTTTTAACCATTGATTTTATCATCAGAATGAGTTTTGTGGAAATTTTAGGAAATTTCACAGGTTGAAATCATGAGTCAACTGAAGCTAGACCACCATGGAAAACCTGGAAGCACTGGACGGCCGTTTCGTCCTATTGTGGGACTCCTCAGCAGTGCGCATCCACGATCCCGCAACCCGCGGGATTCGGACCCAGGACCTACTGGCTTCGCACGCGAGCACGTAACCATTAGACCACTGAGATGGACGGCATCCAACGGTGTTAATGTCTAACTTCAACCAATCCACGAAGTTGCTCCACCGAACGCCATTTTCTTCAGTGAGCTGATATCTCACAACAGACCTGGTTGAACTCCATTGGTGACGGCTTCTCACTAGAACTCCAGGAGGTTCTCCTAAAGTCAGTCACTCGCGCGCGAAGCCAGTAGGTCCTGGGTTCGAATCCCGCGGATTGCGGGATCGTGCATGCGCACTGCTGAGGAGTCCCACAATAGGACGAAACGGCCGTCCAGTGCTTCCAGGTTTTCAATGGTGGTCTAGCTTCAACTGACTCATGATTTCAACCTGTGAAATTTCCTAAAATCTCCACGAAACTCATTCTGATAATTGATTTTATAACATGTCTAGACTGATATACAAAAATGAAAACAGTTTTCATCAAAATCTATGAATAATAATATTCGATCAATCAACTAGGTAGTTGATTTTTTCTTCTTAGTTCAATAGTAAAAATGTTAATTAATAAACAGCTGTTATAGTTGATTTTATTAAGTAATTAAAAGTATGCAACAATGGATGCAATAAATATAGATTTTGTGCTAACCGGCACTTACCGTTAAGATCTAATTTACTATGTTGTGAAAATCAATATTGATTAATTGATAGAATTTGATTAGAAACAAAAATTAGATAATTTTCCATTGACTAATATTAATGATAAATTAAGAAATTGAATTGAATGACTTTAAATTGTTAGTAAAATATTATAACTAAGGTTAAATTCACTTGGTATTGTTTGTTTAAATCTTTCCGTTGATGTTTAAGACTGCGATGGATCAGTTTCTTATTGGTATATGTGCATCCTGTGAAGATTGTCTCGATATTGCTTTAATTCACAAGCATTCTAAACAAAGATAGATAGCGGTTAGAAGTGGAATGGAAAACGCGCGTTTCGTGTTATTTGAGACTCATCAGCTGAATGTATCTGTATCTCAGAGTTGAAATTCACTCTGGAACTCGAATTCAGTCCTGAACATCAATAGGAAGATTCAAGTAGGCAATATCAAGTGAATTTAAATTTCAACCCATTGCACAAGCGAGTGGCTATCAGAAATCAGCAGCTAAGTGGATAACGTGATGGCGTTTCGAGCGAACTGTACTGGGTTTGAGTACCAGAGTGAAGATCAACTCTGAGATATGTGTACATCCGGCTGATGAGTCCCGAATAGGACAAAACGCGCATCTTGGATTCCACTGCTAGCCACTATCCATCTTTTCATAATTAAGATTATTATAATTAATATTCGTTAATTACTGTTATTATAAGATATTGTGAAGATTATTGAATTTAAATTTTACGCGATGGGCTGACTTTGGTTAGGTAGCCAATAACCCTAGTAGATAACTCAATGGCTTCAAAGTTGAACGTTTGCCATAAGGTTTAAAAGTTGTACGTTTAATTATTAGTATGATCTTGGTTGCATATTACTAAGAAGTTCCATAATAGCATCAAACAACTATCCAGAGATTTGTAGTTATTTAATCAAAATCATTCTATAATATGAAACCCTTCAGTTTATCAATCAAACCAAAATAGAATGTAAATTAACATAAGATAAAAGCATCAAATATGTTATGTGGTAATTTTATTGAAAATATACAACTTTATCAATTCAAGTCAGTCAGCATTACTTTTTCAAGTTTAATTTAACTATCAAATCAAGAAAAAAGAATTTCATTGTAATAAGTTTTATTTTGAGAACAGAAAAAAATTCACACTAACATTTTAATTAACTATACCGATGAAATATAATTACAAGTTCTGGATTCTGTTGAAAGTCAACATACCAAGAAACATACTTATGGAGATTATCTTTAATGTAATAGTTAAGTTCATGAGTCAATGAAATCTAGACCAGCATGGAAAAATTTGTAGCACTGGACGGCCGTTACATCCTAGTATAGGATTGATTAAAGTTAGACATTAACATTGTTGGGTGATGGTTCAGTGTTCTGGAGGTAAAACGTTTGTGCACGAGACTGATAGGTCCTGGGTTCGGATCTCGCGAGTCGGGATCGTGGATGCGCACTGCTGAAGGAGTCCAATACTAGGACGAAACGGCCGTCCAATGCTCTTAGGTTTTCCATGGTAGTCTAGTTTAGATCGACTCAATAATTAAACTTTAGATATTAAATATTAACCTTAAGAAGTTTAATGAAAAACATTAGAATGACTAATGATATTATGTACAGAAAAAATACTGAGAAGTATTTAGATGTTTGTCTTTAACACAGTGTAACATCAATAATTTATTTTATGAGATTTAATGTAGAAATAGGCTAAACGTTTGATGAAAATACTGGTTATTTAAAATTAACTGATTACTGAGTAGTGACTTATGTCATGCTTGTCTAGTTTACTAGTGTTAATCGACTACCATTAAGCAAGCTGTTATGTGAGCGCTAATCTAAGTGACTAGACTTTTACTGCACCATGTTGAGGTCTTAGTTGATTAGACAGACCAGAGAAAATTATGGGCCTAGATTTCGCACCAGCTGGCATTTAACAGTAAGACACATCTGCGTTCTTGAGGGACTCGTACTCACATAGCAACTTGATCGACAGAATTCGATTGGCACTAAAAGATCCGATAAACGTGAAAATGGTCACTGCTCATTGGCATATTAATTATAAGTATCTCTGAGTTCTACAGAAAGTCAGTAGCTACGCAAAAGGCTCAGTGGTGACGTTTCGGGTTATAAAGCTGAATGGCGCGGGAATAGATCTATGAGGGGACATCAGTCTCTTTGAGATTATAGGGAAACTTTTCTGATGAGGGCTGAACAGGACGAAACCTAGATCCAAGGCTTCCTATCGATTAGCTCCAATTCAATTAATGACTATGTGCTACATAAGGACCCACACTTTTCTCGCTGATCGTTTAATTGATTTTTTCATAGTTAACAATCTCTGAGTAATTAATTACACACTACTTTCTCATATGTTTTTAATTTTCATATTGTCACTGTTAAGATTTATGCACATGGACATAATAGATCAATTGGACGGATAATATGTCGTCGAGATCAAGAAAATGATAGTTTTCGTGTTGACTTCCCTTTAGACTTGGATTATCGTATGAAACTTTTGCTTATTTGTGCTGCAATATTTTTGGTAAGCTATTTATTTATAATGTTTCTTTTATTTTATATTATATAATAATTCATAGTGTACATCTAAACATGAAAATCTTAGGTATTATGTAATGAATATTCTACAGTTAGTCAATGATAATTTACTGTTTGGTGCAAAATTTCAATGTCTCAATTAGTTTCTATGGTATTTGTAAGTTATCATTTGCCATTGTGCAAAAAACTAGTGACTGATCGATTACCCGGTAAGAAATGTGGAATGAAAAGAAAATTATTAACATTCTTCTTGTCCTGATATGTATACATACATCAATTCATATAATATTCAATCATAATTTAATATGATTGTTTAAGATAAAGGTTAGTCAATAAAACATGAATACGGGTTTTCTAAAAGCAGTCAACAGAATTATAGTTCACTTTTAAATTAACATCTTATAGTTGAGAAGAAAGCTAAAGTGTTAGTAAGTTTTGTACATTTCTTAAAGGTGTAAATTTTTTAGTGATAAGTCTTTTAATTAAGTGCTAGATTTGGTTCCTAAGCTCTTCTAGTAACCCCCAGGCTAGATCTATACAGCGACTTGAACATGAGAGGAAAGGCGGGAAATATGGAAGAAACGCTTTACTCCAAAGGTTCATTTATGTACAGAAAATCTAGGGTATTTAAAGTATTTTAGATAGCCTTGGGTTATGTTAATGGAAAGTATACTAACCTGCCAATCTAATCTTTGAATACTAATATCTTATTTGTTCATTGATTCAATCAAATAAACAAAAGTATCAGTTACATCACTGAATTTACCAACAATCATTATGAGATTGGTGAAATTCTAAAATTAAATACTAGCTTCTCGTATATATATATGGATAAGGGTTAACATTAGAATCCATTACGTGCGTTTTGTCCTACTTGAGATTTGTTAGAAATCTCAAATGAATCTTTCTACAATTACACTGTTGTATAGTTATAATGTAGCATATGAAAATTCAAGATTGATGATTTCATTTATTTAGATTATGTGTTAAATCAACTTTTAAAATTTTTTGGATTGTTTGACATTTAATAACTATGTCAATCTAGAGATATTCGATGGGTTTTGTGGAGATTGTAGTAATTTCAATGGTTAAGATCATGAGTCAGATATTAATCAACATATGCTCACTAGTGACTGGCTTCATGAGGTATATCCTGGAGTTCTAGTGAGAAGCAGTGACCGTTGGAGTTCAACCAGGTCTGTTGTGAGATAGTAACTCACTGAAGACAATGGTGGATGTGTCGCTGAATTTCGTGGATTAGTTGAAGTTAGACATTAACACCGTTTGATGCCGGCTCAGTGGTCTAGTGGTTAAGTGCTCGTGCGCGAAACCAGTAGGTCCTGGGTTCGAATCTCGCAGAGGGCAAGGTCGTGGATGCACACTGCTGAGGAGTCCCATAATAGGATGAAACGGCCGTCCAGTGCTTCCAGGTTTTCCATGGTGGTCTAGCTTCAACTGACTCATGATCTTAACTAGAGATATTCATTAGCGATATGATGAATACATGAATACCAGCTATATCTTCCCAAAGGGGGTGCAGGTACATTGAGATGATGAGTTCCAAATAGGACGTAATGGACGTTCTGAATTCCATTGCTAACATACCATCTTTTCTTCATTAGTTTCCACTTTTATATATCATTTCCTTATTTTCAATCTTGTTCATTCAGCTACAACTCTGAAGATATTTATTGAAATGAATGTTTTAAATGTTAACAAAAACTAAACTTTTTAAAACAAATGACTAAAACCAATTCGGGGAATAAAAGAAAATTGGAATGCAATCTTTAGTCAGTGCAAGAATTTATTTCATTTGGGAACTATTGCATAATTACTGATTTTGATCAAAATGGGGTTTTTGTGAAGATTCATGGGCCGATATAAGCTAAACCACCACTGCAATCCTAGAAGCACTAGATGGCCGTTTCGTCCTAGTATGGGACTCCTCAGAAGTGCACATTCACGATCCCGCATGCGGGGCTCGAGCTCAGGACCTTCACTCTCGCACGCGAACGCTGGCATATAACGGTGTTAATGTCTAACTTGAATCGATCCATGATCTTGCGCAACCATTCATCCATTGAACTCTACTGGCCAGAAC